ACGGGAATAAAACGTTTTTTAAAAACAGACATGATTTTTCATGTTCCGCGTTTTAACCCCATATCCGTTCCGTTCCGCATTTTAACCCCATATCCGTTCCGTTCCGCATTTTAACCCCATATCCGTTCCGTTCTGTTCCGCATTTCCGTTCCGTTCCGCATTTTAACTCCATATCCGTTCCGTTCCGCATATCCGTTCCGCATTTTAACCCCATATCCGTTCCGTTCCGCATATCCGTTCCGCATCCGCTTCCGCGTTTTAACCTAACCCTATTGAAAAGCGTCGCTGACTAGTAAAAGTTTGTACGCGGGCGCAGAACGAGTTTTCATTCAGCAAAATCGAACCGCAATGCTGTTTTTACTGTTTTGTTATTGTCAACTTTTCGATTTATTTGAGTGCTATGGACAGCCAAGGATTATTGTGAAGGATTAAATCGATGAAAACAAGGTTGAAGCCAATTGAATCCCGCCGTTTACTCAATATATGAGCTGTAACAGCCTATTAACAGGTGGACGTGTTTTTTTTTGTTTCATGTTTGGTTTTGTACTTTTTGCTAAAAATGAACAATTAGGCTATGAAACTGAAATATTTTTCTGTTTACATATAATCACTTTAATCTTGTAGAAACACGACTAAAAACGTGAACGTTTTCTTGAGAAGTAAACAACTTTTAAACGTTTGTATGCAATTTTGCAAATGTTTTACAGTTGAGTCAGTTGACAGTGTATAAAAAATTAAAAAATATTGTTTCGTAGCTATTTTTGGTCTAGTGATATTCGTATCATATGTAGAATTGCTGTATAGACTCGCAAGTGATTTGGCACTCAAAACGAAGTATTATTCAACGCTTTTTTTCCATTAGAAACCTTTCAGAAATAGCTTTATTTTTAAAAAAAGCATGGTCAATTTTTGTTTTGTTTTGATCATGCAGTTGCGTGAGATAGTTCATGTACTTGTCCCGCGAACATCCCGCACGGAACTGTAGGGAGCCTCCTTAAATGGGAAAATGTCAAAAGCTTATTGGTTGAAGAGTACATGAAGCGAAAAGAAAAGCAAACAGAGAGTCCAGGTCAGAACGATGCATTATTTTCGAGGAAGAGTAATTATTCATTCCGTGGAAGGAATCATCAGTTTCGTGGTGGCAGACAGTATGGCAACCATACCCGAGACAGTGGTGTACACAATCAGAGGAGACCAAACCAGATGCGAGGAATTAAATGTTTCAAATGTGAGAAATTTGGTCACATGGTTAAGAACTGTCCTCTTAACAAGAAATCAAATGAATCAAATATCACTGAAGAAGGCGAGCAAGATAAACGTGGAAATGAAGGAATAGCTTTAAGCTCTACATCCACCAATAAAGGGACAAATGATCAATGGTTCATTGATAGTGGAGCAACTAAACACATGACATTTCAGAGGAATATTAAAAATGATTACAAGAAATATGAGGAACCATCTAAGATCTATCTTGGAGATAATAGAGTCATCAAAGCATATGGCGAAGGAAAAGTGAATCTTGAATGTAATGATCATAGATTAAAGAATGAATAGGTGGCCCACTCCTTTGATGTTTTTGACGCTGCCGCCTCGCACCGGAAATTGACGGCCGCCATGTTGCTGGCAAGTAGATTGCAGCAAGTATAATAGGGAAATGTATTGGCGAGAAGTGTATTTTCAGTAATAAAATGGAAAATTTTTGTGATCTTGTCTTTTATCGTATTTTCTGTGGATAGTACATTAAAGGGGAAGGTAAGAGGAGTGTATTTTTGTATTTATGAGATTAAGAACTGTATTTAAAGTGATTGAAATCGTTCGTAAGAGTGAGCTGAATGTGGACGCAAGATACGCATATAAAGTGCTAATGGAACTGTTCATGTAAATGGATGATATGTTGGATATCTAAAAAAATGTCGTTAGATATAACTTTCCCGGACTATTTACGTTTATATTATGTTCTTTCTTGGAGTTATTTTTACACAATTTTGTGATAAAATCGTGTGCTATATGCAACAGTATAAACAATGACTCCTGACAAATACACCGTTCTGTTCAATGGCAATAATTATAAAATCTTTTTAAAATATCAGTGTTAAATCTTGGTCTTGATATGTTTAATGTTGAACTGATGTTTTTTATATATGGTGAATAATAATCGTGGCCTTTACCACCTAGTTTCTCGAAAGTATATTTACATAAATGTTGTGGTTTATAAGTGGGTTACTTTGATGTATTTTCTGCTTTCTTTTTTTAGATGCAAAGTTCCTGTTCCCAAACTTGATTGTATAATATATCCTCAGAAACAACTTCAGTATATATTCCACAGGAAATGTTAGGCAATGTTGGAATGTGATGGATATGCAATTAAGGAGCTTCAGCAGCTCACCACCAACTGTTGTGGATTTTGTATAAACTGCATGTGTGGAAACACTGCATGTGTAATCCTCCAGAAGCATTGCTGCTGGTGTCCAAATTCTTCAACTCCAAAGTTTCTTTATACATTTTTTTAAATAAGGGAACTATGTTGCATCTTTCTTTCAATGCATGATGTACTGCAGTTATCAGAGGCATACTGACTATGTCGATCCTGATGTAAAGAAACTTTGGAGTTGAAGAATTTGCTTCTGGAGGATTACACATGCATTTGATTGATTGATTGACACCTTTATTTAAACAGGGTAGTCCAATCAGTAGTAAAAACTACTGCTATCAACTGGAGCCCTACTATTTAAAAAAAAATACAATCTTTACATGCTATATGACAATTAGGTATTAAAACAATATACTATATATATATATATATATATATATATATATATATATATATATATATATATATATATATATATATATATATATATATATATATATATATACTAGAGAATAAAACTATTTTTGCTTTTTATTATATACAACACAACCGTTGTAATAAAAGGATTTCTTTGCCTGTTCAGTTCGTACTCGAGGCAAGTGCAGTTTATGACTCTGCCTATAGTCACTCTACTATGTACCGAGCTGTTAAGAGTAAAATAATTTTTAAAAAGTTGCGGACAACGTCCCTGAATACATTTATTGACTAATTTAAAAATGTTGTCGTCTCGCCTGCTCTGCAGAGAAGGCCACTTCAACATGTTCATTGCTTTATCACTCTCAGGTATTCTGGACACAATCCTAGCAGCATGCCATTAAAGCTTTTCCAGACTTGAGGCATTACCAGCACCGCAGCGATCCCATACTGTATAGGCAAGTGTTTCCTTGACTATATTTTGAACCTGGAGGACAGCTTTGTGAAAACCTTTCAGTTTATACAAAATCCACAATGGCATATCCATCACATTCCAACACTGCCTAACATTTCCTGTGGAATATATGCTGAAGTTGTTTCTGAGGATGCATACCGTAAACCTCCGACTATAAGCCCCCCCCCCCTGAATATAAGCCCACCACATATACTAATGCTTACCTCATTCCAAATATAAGCCCTCCCGAATATAAGCCCCCCAAATATAAGTCCCCCGAATATAAGCCCAGTAGCCCACTACGTTATTCAACATTGACATTGTCTTTTAATATAGCAGAGAACGATATAGCTGACTATGTTAATCAAATCAATAGTTAATCTATTATTAATACATGTTTATTTTCCTGTTTATGACTGACTTGTTTATGTCTGACTTGTTTATTACTAACACAAAAGATCGTCCATGTATTAGCCCCCCCTTGTATAATAAGCCCCCCTTGTGTAATAAGCCCCCCCCCCTTGTGTAATAAGCCCATCAAAAATCGCTTACGAAAGTATATAAGCCCAGGGCTTATAGTCGGAGGTTTACGGTATATATTATACAATCAAGTTTGGGAACAGAAACTTTGCATCTAAAAATGAAAGCAGAAAATACATCAAAGTAACCCACTTATAAACCACAACATTTATGTAAATATACTTTCGAGAAACTAGGTGATAAAGGCCACGATTATTATTTACCATATATAAAAAACATCAGTTCAACATTAAACATATCAAGACCAAGATTTAACACTGATATTTTAAAAAGATTTTATAATTATTGCCATTGAACAGAACGGTGTATTTGTCAGCGTCATATTGTTTATACTGTTGTATATAGCACACGATTTTATCACAAAATTGTGTAAAAATAACTCCAAGAAAGAACATAATATAAACGTAAATAGTCCGGGAAAGTTATATCCAACGACATATTTTTAGATATCCAACATATCATTCATTTGCATGAACAGTTCCATGTTTATAATAGCACTTTATACGCGTATCTTGCGTCCACATTCAGCTCACTCTTACGAACGATTTCAATGTACTATCCACAGAAAATACGATAAAAGACAAGATCACGAAAATTTTCCATTTTAATACTGAAAATACACTTCTCGCCAATACATTTCCCTATTTATACTTGCTGCAATCTACTTGCCAGCAACATGGCGGCCGTCAATTTCCGGTGCGAGGCGGCAGCGTCAAAAACATCAAAGGAGTGGCCTTTCTGTTCAATTCTTTATTCTGTGGTAATGATGGTGCAGACAACATTACTTTAAATTTACATAAAGTATTATTTATCCCAGAAATTAAGAAGAATCTACTATCAGTCCCAGCGATGACCCAAATGGAAGCTGAGGTTATATTCGACGATGAAAAATGTTATATAATCAAGAATGGGAAGACAATCAACATTGGACATTTGCTCGAAAGCAAGTTATATGTTGTAAACACTCAACCAGACTATGTTAACATTACAACAACAAAAGTCCCAACACTAAGGGAATGGCATTGTAGATATGGGCACTTAAACTTTGGATACATCAATAAATTGGCACAAGGAAACTTAGTCACTGGTATGAAATATACTAAGGGTGAAACCAGCCAAGAATGTGAAGCATGCACAAGAGCAAAGATGCATCGAATACCTGTCCCAAAACAAAGCTCTAATAGAACGACTCAACCGCTGGAATTAATTCACAGTGATGTATGCGGACCAATGAACACTGACTCCATTGGTGGAAGTAAGTACATTTTAACATTTACTGATGATTACACTAGATAGTAACAGTTTATTTTCTGAAAAATAAGTCAGAGGTTTATGAGAAATTCCAAGAATATGTTAACATGGTTGAAAACTTTACTGGGTTGAAAGTAAAAACATTGCGAACAGACAATGGTGGAGAATATGTTTCTAATGATTTCTCCAAATATTGTGTAAATAAAGGAATTGTACATCAGTACAGTAATCCTTACACTCCAGAGGAAAATGGTGTTTCGGAAAGATTAAATCGAACACTCACGGAATCTGCCAAGTCCATGATATTTCATGCGAACATGCCGATCAACTTTTGGGCAGAAGCTGTCAACACAGCTGTGTACTTACACAATAGAAGTCCCACTACATCCCTAAACATGAAAACACCTTATGAACTCTGGTTCAGTAAAAAGCCAGATGTGTCAAACCTGAAAGTATTTGGATCAGTTTGTTTCATCCATACACCCAGCAATCTACGACGAAAGCTTGACCCTAGATCGCGAAAAGCTGTATTTATTGGGTATCCACTCGACACAAAGGGTTATAAACTATATGATATAGAATCAAAGAATTTCGTGCGAAGTAAAATGTAGTATTCTATGAAAACAAGTTTCATAATTTTAAAGTAGTAACTAAAGAGTTAATCATACGAGAAGATGTTCCAGAAGAGAAATTAAGTGTTGATCATGAACAACACCATGATGCTGAAGATCGAGTCCCTGTACCGACTGTACCTGACATTGAGGCAGCAGCAGTGGGAGAATCATACGAAGAAAGTTTCATGAAGCAAGTAGAAAATCTCGAGACAACGAGATAGAGAAAAGCACCAAAGAAATTTAGTCCAGACGAGTGCAATATTACTGAATCCTTGACTGCAGAAAACGAAGAGCCACAATCAATAAGTGAAGCCTTGAACGGTGCAAATGCAAGTAAATGGAAACAAGCATGGTTCGGTTAATAATGGCAGGTGATGTTGAACTAAATCCTGGTCCAATGATGACATGTCTTAACATTGGTCATATCAATGCCAGAAGTCTAGTGAATGAAGAAAAATTTGAGGAAATTTCTTCTTTTATCTTGCAAAAAAATTTTGAATTGTTTGCGATCACTGAAACATGGCTAAACAGCCAAATTTCGAATGATGATCTGTGTATACCCGGTTTTCATGCTATTGTAAGGAAAGATAGACTAAATACACGGGGTGGTGGTGTTGCATTATACATTACACAGTCATTAGCATTTAAGAGACGTAACGATTTAGAAAATAACAATCTAGAATTACTTTGGGTTGAAGTAAAAGTACATAAACAAACCTTACTATGCGGAGTTTGTTATAGAGCGCCAAATAACTCTTTGCAAGATGTATCAATTTTTTTGGATTCCTTACAAAGTATTATAGATAAAATACGTCAAAACCCACACACGTTTATAATGATAATCGGTGACTTAAACGCTCACTATGATTGTAATAATTTATCAAGCACTGGTTTTGGTAATCACTTTAACCATTGGCTCCAGTGCAATGCACTGTATCAAATAATCAGAGAGCCGACCCGTGTAACAGAAACTACATCTACAATATTAGATGTTGTTATTACTAATTGTCCACGATATTTTTCTGATTCGGGTACATGTAGTCCACCATCGAATTGTGATCACTCCTACATCTATACAAAAATGAAAATTCCGTACTATAAGCAAAAGTCCTTTAAACGACACATTTGGGATTTCTCCAATATCAATATAGCACAGCTTAATGAGGAACTTTCAAATCTTAATTGGGAAAATTGTGAAAGAGAAAATAACCGGATTGACGATGTTTATAAAAACTTGGTTTGACTATTTTTACTCAACAGTTAAAAAGCATATTCCAAATAGAATAGTTGTAATACGTCCTAACGATAAACCATGGATGACATGCGCTGTAAGAAGTGCAATTCGTAAAAGAAATAGAATTTTAAAGCAATTTTCTAAGAAAAAAACTCGTTTATTGTGGAAGAAATATAAAGATCAAAGGAATTACACGACAACTCTGATTCGAGAAACAAAAATAAAATATTATGATAAACTAAATATCCAATTATCAGATTTTCGTTTGGGCCAAAAAAAATGGTGGAGTTATGTTAAGTCAGTTTTTAATAATAATTGCCGTGTATCAATTCCAGTTATACGGGAGGGATCTCAGATTGTTTGCGATGCGCAAAAAAAAAGCGGATTTATTTAATGAATATTTTGTAAGTGAAGCGAACGTTGATGACACATATCATGAACTACCAGTCCTAGATTATTATTCTAATCACACAGATAAAACGTTGTCTATAGTTCAAACAACAGAAGAAGAAGTGATTAATCTCCTCTATAAAGTTGATATTACAAAAGCTAGCGGTCATGATGGTATTGGCAATAGAATTATTAAATTATGTAGCCGTGGAATTGCCAAAACATTTACATGTTTAATTAACACAAGTCTCCGAATAGGAGGGTATCCAACTGAATGGAAAAAAGCAAATGTAACTCCTGTCTATAAAAAAGATGATCATCAATATAAAAAGAACTATCGTCCCATATCACTTTTACCGTCTATATCCAAAATACCAGAAAAAATTGTATTCACTAGACTATTTGTATTTTTATTAGAAACTAGATTCCTTAATGATTTTCAGTCCGGTTTTAGACCAGGAGACAGCACTGTGAACCAACTTACGTATATAGTTCATAAGATCTACGAAGCTCTAGAAATGGGTAAAGAAGTCCGTATGGTGTTTTTAGATTTTAGCAAAGCGTTTGATAAAGTATGGCATAAAGGTTTATTGTATAAATTAAAATCTCTTGGAGTAAAAGACCCACTTTTAAGCTGGTTTTGTAGTTATTTGTCTGATAGAAAACAAAGAGTTGTCATTGAGGGGCAATGCTCGAGCTGGCTTAGTGTTGAAGCTGGTGTTCCACAAGGTTCAGTGCTCGGGCCATTGCTTTTTCTAATATACATAAATGATATTTCCAGCAATATTGTATCTGACTGTTTTCTCTACGCTGATGATACATCTTTACTTGAAATTGTTGATAATTTATCATCTTTTGATTCTAGACTAAACGAGGATCTCAATAGCATTAACCAATGGTGTATGGAATGGTTGATGGAATTGAATCCTACTAAGTGCGAAAGTATTACATTTTCAACGAAACATAACCGACTTCCTCAGCCAATCTTATACTTAAATGGCACTGCATTACGCGAAGTTGATTCTCATTCACATTTAGGTTTAACATTTACGTCAAATTTCTCTTGGTCAAAACATATTCTAAGCATACATCAAAAAGCTAGTAAAAGAATGAACGCATTAAAAAGGGTTAAATATAAGCTTAAAAGGTCAACACTGATATGCTTATATAAAAGTCTGATTAGACCCTTAATGGAATATGCAGATGTAATATGGGATGGATGTAGTATAGAGGAAGCAAATCTTTTAGAAGCAGTTCAGTACGAATC